TATCTATAACAAACCAATAAACTAACACATCTTGTTTGGTATTCTCTCCTAACATTGTAAAGTAATTGGAATACTGTACTTTTGTACTGTCTGTCCTTTTTTTTTTTCTTCTGTCCTCTTCTTAATATCACATTTGACTGTGAAGATAATTGTATCTTTTTCTTGATTTTAATAAAGGTTAATTTAAAGGACAAGTTAAAAAGGTGCATTTAAAATATATAGCAAAGTATTTCTTTTTAAGGCATATATATCTTTAAAAAAGGAAATTTAAATATGACTCCTCTTATGTGCATTAGTTAAACTTACCCTTGCCAGAGAAGTTCATCATTGGCGAGGTCCTGCCAAACACACGACGCCAAGCAAAGGTCAGTTGCATTCAGGTAGGACAAAATTGTAAAGCTTAGCTCAGGAGGCAACATTTCCAAATTAATGAATCCTTCCTGTTCCTTAGACTTCCTAGTCTTCAAAAGATGATACAGGTCAATGCCTCCTTGGACTTGCTTACGATGATTAGCATTAGGAATGCTGCTCACAGCCATTCTCCTGCTATGCTCTCTGGGGAGGTAGCCTTGTTCACTGTAGCCTTCCTGTTGTAGCTGCTGGTTTCTGGCCACTCTCCACAGCCCCTGACCCATCTGCAAGACTGAAAGAAAGCTGGAATGTACTAAGGAGTTTACATTTAAAAAGTAACCTGTCTTTCCCAGTGGTATAACAACTGTGACACACTGAATCCATTCATCAGAAGAAAATTCTGCATTAAAGTATATTAAAAGTGGTACTATAGTACAATGAATAGTTATAGCATTACAAGCATAAAACTGAGACAGAAATGTTCAGAAATATTTGGTTTGATTGTCATCTTTATCCTAGTTTCCTGGCCACTTTTAAAGTCCACAGGTGACATAATAATTTTTCACATGGTGAGATTTAAAAGTTACTGATGTCCTAAAGACTCTTACAAATTACAAGTATGTGGACATATGGGCCTGTATTAAATACAGCTCTGATTGGAGCACTGGACATTAGTTAAAAGGCCTCTAGACCCTGCTTTTTATCAAGCTCAGGCTAAACTAAGCAAGACCCTTTTAACCAAACTCCCAGATGCATAACAGCTGTGAAACAGGCTTTTAGTTTAATTCTTGCCAGTCTACACTTATGTTGTAGACTGTAATAAAATGTAACATGGGCCCTGAAGTCTAATTCAGAAACCTTATAAATTAGACACCTAGAAACCCATGATAAATAGCTCTGTAATAATGAACTATTTGGTTTTGTTGTTGCTTTAAATCAAAAAGCATAATGTAGATTTT